TTGTATCCAATAAACGTCAAAACGGCTGAACCGATCAGGCCCTAATTTTGAGTGGGACCTTACATGATTATGATTTCCAACAAAATTCATTAACTTTAGTCTAGATCTAGAAATAAATATCATAACCTATAAATATATTCTTGAGTTGAGAAGACAGTCTAGTTTCTAAGAATTACATTTATAAAAAACTGAATATTTTTATATTAGAAACAGTTGTTTATGTTTTCCATGTTTATTGTCATTTAGTCCTTTTTTGAGATGGTAATTTGACATCTAATATTTATATTACTACAGGGAGTAGACATTTAAAGCTTAGTTAACGTGCTCTAGAATATAGATTTCTGGAGTCTAGATTCAAGAAATATATAATTTCTAGATTCTAGACTCTAGAAATATATAATGTCTAGAGTCTAGACTCTAGAAATAAATAATTTCTAAAGTCTAGATCTAGACTTATATAATTTCTGGGATCTAGATCTAGATATACATGATTTCTAGAGTCTAGATTTAGTCATATATAATTTCTAGAGTCAAAGTCTAGACATATTTTCTAGAGTCTAGATCTAGACATATATAATTTGCAGAGTCTAGATCTAGACATATATACTTTCTAGAGTCTGGATCTAGACTAATATACTTTCTATGTAGATCTAGAAATATGTGAATATTCTATGTTGATCAAGTATGATGCGTCTATTCTATATAATCTAGAAATAGATCTAGTAATATGTTTCTATTCTATGCAGATCTAGAAATATATGCATATGAAATATTTATCCCATAAATAACTTTGTAAAGGATAATCTTTCTCCAAGGGCAACGGGTCAAAAGCGTAAATAGTAAATCTTGAAATAAGAAGATTTCAGATCAAGATTAATATAAGATATCGTTTGCGCTACATATTTCTTTATATTTCCTCTGAGCATCTTTATATTTCCTCTTAGCATCTTTATATTTACTATTACCATCTTTATTTTTCCTATAAGAATCTTTATATTTTCTCTTAGCATCTTTATATTTCCTCTTAGCATCTTTATATTTACTATTACCATCTTTATTTTTCCTTTAAGAATCTTTGTATTTCCTCTTAGCATCTTTATATTTACTATTACCATCTTTATATTTCCTATTAGCATCTTTATATTTACTATTAACATCTTAATTTTTTCCTATAAGAATCATTATATTTTCTCTTAGCATCTTTATATTTCCTCCTAGCAGCTTTATATTTATTCAACTTTGAGAGAATTTTGATCCCGCATTTTACACACAATTTCCTTTTTTATTTTGCGGATTTTAAAATAAAATTTCAAAAAAAATCAAGAATTGATCAAATTCATGTTCATCCATATTCATCCATACTCATCCATACTCATCCATACTCATCCAGGAAATATAATATATATTTATGCTAACGTCTTGTGTTATCATTTGGGAAATTATGTTTTTGTGGTAAATTTTACTTTTTGGTTTATTTGCTTAAACAAACGAAAAAAGTAAAAAATCCCGACAAAAAAAACATATTTTCCCGCATGTTAAAACAGGACAGTAGCATAAATAGATATTATATTTCCTATTAAAATCTTGATACTTCCTTTTAAATCAAATCAAATCAAATTATAGCTTTCCCTTCTGTTAAAAGATCTGATTTTTTTATCTCTTAATCTTTGCAACCCAATGTGTCGTAGACCTTAGATATTTCAAAAAAATGAATTCTGTTATATCTAATAATCTAATTTCAAAATATCAAAGGTGTACGATGTACATGCAATCAGATTACAAAGATTTAGAATAAAAAAGTAAAAAATTACAAAAATTTTCTCACGTCTAACAAAATTTGAAAAAGATGAAATTTAAATAAAATTTCGAACAAAGCTTTTTTTGTAATTTACATTTTTTAAAAGGAGATTTTTAAGAAACAAATTAAAACGGAAAAGAAATAAAGAACCTCTTTAAAACAAAATTGAAGTTTTATAATTCTATTTCAAGAATCTTTTGTAGAAGAAATGTTATATTTTTAATATCAAAGTTCAAAGAAAAGCGAATTTACATTCAGATAAAATTAAGTATTTGTTATGGAACCTGAACCTCAACTGATGACCCAGATGGGTTCAGGTACCTGTGTCTGATACAATGGGCCCTACAATACAGAGAGATTCATTGCGCATGTAAATTAGATTTTTACCGAATTAAAAATAGGATTTGATGCTCAAAACTGATTGCTCGCCGCAAACTCTGATTTGCTAATCCCTATATCTTTACAAGCTGATTGTGTGACCCTTTGTTATTTTAAACATCAACTTTTTGATTAATAGCCCAACTAGCTCCAGGTTTAAAATATGAATGGTGATATAATCAAACATACAATTGTTGGTTCTCTACGAAACATACAAACTGCGGGAAATCATATTATAGGAGTTATCTCAATTAAACACTTTAAAACATAAAAAAACGACAATATCTTCCACATTATTGATCAGACAAAAGTGTTAAAGGTACCGTCGTGGATCAGGCCTGCTGGGTCAAGTTTTTTCTTAATCTGTTTTTAACTTTAAAGGAAGTTAATTTATTTCTGGGAATGCCTTATACAGCTTATTAGTATATGCAAGGGATACAATGTACGTTATATTTCTTTAATTTAGGGATTTAACAACTATTATACATTTTGCTGCAGTGAGATCCTTAAAACTGTGGAATAAGAAGACGACTGATAGACTCATATTGTGATTTTCAACCTGATGATAAAACTATTTGCTTTATAACAAATTCAAATATAAAAAGGATTGATGAAATGTCGCTTTCCAGAGTCTTATATGTCTCACTGCAAAGCTTGCAAAAGTTTTTTTTGACAAAGTGACAGTTAAAAGCCTAAGTCTATTCAATTTTAATCTCTTTATAACCATTACATTTGTCATTTTAATGCATTTAGCGACAAAGGAAGTTTATATTAAAATAAGATTCAATATTTTATCACCTAGATACAATTTTAAACATATCACTTGAAGTAAAATCTACAATTAGACAAAATTGAGACATGAATTCAATTAGTTAATTTATGAATCAGATTATATACTATACTAATGCTGGAGCTGTGTCAAGCAGCCCATACAAAATTTGATTATCTCAATTCTAATATAATCTATTTGAGTTTTGAGTAAGCCATGAGTCGTTAAAAAGATCAATAAATAATTAAAAATAACAAGTCAAATTGCGCTCTAATAGAGCATTGTACAATATGGTTAAAGTCGCGCCGCGCCGGTGCAAACAAAAGCTTGTACCCTGCTGCCTCACTATCTGCAAGGATGTAATGCAAGGAAAGTTATTTCAGAAGTGTACACATCTTTTGTACTGCAGTGTACTGTCTCTGGGCGGTAATGTAAACACAAGACGGATGTCAACGCCTGACATGGGATTCATCTTTCACATAAAAAATCAATGAAATATTCTGGTCATAGGAAACTATTATGTGAGTTATCAAAATTTAATGCTTTAACCTCCTCGGATACTAAACGAACACTGATGGATCTATTCTTGTTTGCAAATTCCGCCCGAAGAGAACTGGTTTCAATGTGTACGCAGAGTATACACGACCGCAATTTACTTTCCTTGCATTACACCCTCGAATATCTGCAGGTGCTAAATCCGCAACTTTACAAATGCAGTACATAATTCTCTACAAGACCAAAAAACTTGAAGAACAGGAAATTAAAAATCTGGATTGAATGTGGGGAAAGTACAGAGTACTGCTAATTAAAGAGAAATTAGGGCGTTTACCTTATAACTAGTTTAAAAATATGAATAAATAGAACTTTTTTCACTATATGGTGGTTTATTATTGAATATAAGACGGTAATTAGTAAAACAAGAATAGATATACTTATTTTGATGGGTATGGATAAGTATGGACGAGTATGGATGAGTATGGATGAATATGGATGAGTATGGATAAGTATGGACGAGTATGGATGAGTATGGATGAGTATGGATGAGTATGGATGGATGAGTATGGATGAGTATAGTTTAGAATAGATGAGTATGGATGAATATGGATGAGTATGGATGAGTATGGATGAGTATGGATGAGTATGGATGAGTATGGATGAGCATGGATGAGTATGGATGAGTATGGATGAGTATGGATGAATATGGATGCGTATGGATGAGTATTGATGAGTATGGATGAGTATGGATGAGTATGGATGAGTATTGATAAGTATGGATGAGTATGGATGAGAATGGATGAGTATGATTGAGTATGAATTTGTATGGATGAGTATGGATGAGTATGGATGAGTATGGATGAGTATGGATGAGTATGGATGAGTATGGATGAATATGGATGAGTATGGATGATTGTGAAGGTTAACTACCCTGTATCCGGGTATAACTGTAAGAGATAAACTTGAGTATATATTCTTATATCTGCAACCAGGCAGACTTTCACCAGGACAAGTGTGAACTATTTGCATTAAATAAATTGCATTATTTGCCACGTATTTACGCATGTAATGCCACGAGAGTACCCGGATACATCATCCCCCCTCTCTCAACCCATATTTTTCTTCAATCTATTCTTTAATATTCATCCTTTCCCCTCTCTGAATATTCTTCCAAAGTGCACAATTGTTTCTCTTTCTGTTTCTTACAATTACTGTTCCTAAACCTTGTTCCTAATCCTGTTCCTAATCCTGTTCCTAATCCTGTTCCTAACCTTGTTCCTAACCTTGTTCCTAATCCTGTTCCTAATCCTGTTCCTAACCTTGTTCTTAACATTGTTCCTTATCCTACTCCTAATCCTGTTCCTAACCTTGTTCCTTATCCTGTTCCTAATCCTGTTCCTAACCTTGTTCCTTATCATGTTCCTTATCCTGTTCTTTTCCTGTTCCTAACCTTGTTCTTTATCCTGTTCCTAACCTTGTTCTTTATCCTGTTCCTAATCCTGTTCCTAACCTTTTTCCTTATCCTGTTCCTTATCCCTGTTCCTAATTCTGTTCCTAATCATGTTCCTAACCTTGTTCCTAAACCTTGTTCCTAATTATGTTCCTGACCTTTTTCCTAATCCTGTTCCTTATCCTGTTCTTAATCATGTTCCTAACCTTGTTCCTGACCTTGTTCCTTATCCTGTTCCTAATCCTGTTCCTAACCTTGTTCCTAATCTTGTTCCTAACCTTGTTCCTTATCCTGTTCCTAATCCTGTTCCTAACCTTTTTCCTTATCCTGTTCCTTATCCTGTTCCTAATCCTGTTCCCAATCATGTTCCTGACTCTGTTCCTAGTCCTGTTCCTAATCCTGTTCCTAATCCTGTTCCTAATCCTGTTCCTAATCCTGTTCCTTACCCTGCTCCTGATTCTGTTCCTAATACTGTTTTTTACCCTGTTCCTAACCCTATTCCTAGTCCTCTATCTAACCCTGCTCCTGATCCTGTTCCTAATCCTGTGCCTATCCCTGTTCCTAATCCTGTTCCTAATTCTATTCCTGTTCTGCCTATCCTTAACTTTTTCCGTTCTAGTTCCTGTTCCTTTTATTTGTACTTTTTGTTCTTAATTCCTGTTTTTTCCCCTTGTAATGTATTTTTATTTATCTCCTTTTCCTACCTTCAATGTTAAGTGTCGTTAGGTTGAAATTCAGAAGCAAAGTGAATGAATTTAAGATGTCCAAAATGCCTCAAACCAATAAATCAAATTGTAAATTTTAATTATAATTGCTCACAAACATCTGTAGTACGGTGTTTAACAGTGGAGCATTAATGTGATGAGAAAGAAAAAAAGTTTGATATTTCTTACGACGACAAACCACACTTTTAATACGTTTACATTGCAATTAGTTTTAAAGTCTTGATATGATTAAATTTTTAATCCTGAATCATTTTTTTTTCATCGAAAAGAATAGACTAATAATCATAATGATTATACTATGAACTAAATAGGATTATGCGACTTTCTGAGCTCGTAGCTTCTTTATAGTTTTCATTTTGAGCACATTAATAAGAAAACAAATTAAAAATATTTTTGATTATATAATTTAAAACTTTTTAGTTCTTCCATAATAGCTCTTCTATAAGAGGAGAATTTAATGAACACATTTAAGATTTTAAGTTCAATAATAACCTTAGTTTGTTGCGTTTTATTGTTTTTTAATCATAAATGTTTGAGTGAAATAAAATAATAGACTTACAATTATAAGTTTATAACCCCTTTATTATCACCAGATGCCGCTATTTTAATTTAAAACCGAGAAAGTTAATAAAGTATTTATAAAAATAAATTTTGAAAATTTTCCTTTGCTGACGTTATACCACTGTGCACTGATTGTAAAAATTGATGAGTTTACAGTTGAGATGAGTAATTATAGTTAGTAAACCAAATGTTTAAAAATAAATTCTCATGCAATTCGTTTTTTTTCTTCTTCTCTCAGATACAGGGTGAACCTTAAAGGATGCGACTTGATTTTGATTACACGAGGAGTTCTCGTAAAAAGTTAACTCATCATAAGAACCTTAAATGAACTATATATTCAACTTTGAACTACATATTTAACTTTGAACTACATATTTAACTTTGAACTACATATTTAACTTTGAACTACATATTTAACTTTGAACTACATATTTAACTTTCTATTTATATAACGGCGTGTGCAATGCACCACAGTACTCTTCAATAAGTCGACCTGTCTGCGTACATTTTCGATTGGTCGATTCAAAGGAAGGGAAATGTAAAATAAATTAAATGAAGAGAAAAGAAAGAATTATTTAAATTTTATCATGAATAATGTTGGTGGGATGGATTTTCCTAATTTGTGCTCAAGTAGATATGTGATATTTGATACTTTCAACTAGGTTATCAACTTTAGGGGAGGGAGGGCATGTAGATCAAACATTAGCAGATTTATATACATATATATTTATATATTTCAAGAAGTAATCTCTGTTTTGGTGTTTGTTTGTTTGTTTGTTTGTATGTCCCATCATAACTCAGGAACCCTGGACCGATTTGCCTCACATTTGGAGAATTCGGGAGACCCACTGGAATGTTCTTAGCTTAGGTTTTGAGATATCTAAGAGTTGAAAGGGTCCACTTTTATATTTCTAATTTCTAAAATCATTATTTACGACCAAGCACAGGTAAACGCTGGGTTCTCAGGCTAGAATTATATATATATTTTCATACATTTTGCAAGTGTTTCATGTGGAATTTCAATCCATAAATATCTCGGTAAATTGTTAAAAACTTTAAGAGTATAAATTCAATATCGATTATTGTATTTACTGTGACGCAATTTGTTCTTAACAATTCGTTCTGCTTGGATATTATAGTTAATCACATTTTTTTCGACGCATGTTCATTAAAATATCATCTTGTGATTGAGTTCAATTCAATACAGCCATGGGACCTAATATTTAAATAGTTTCTTTTTTAACAATTTTTTATTATTTTAAAAGGTTTTTTTAAAGATAATTTCAAAATTGTACAAAATTATTTTAATGATATATATTTAATAGTATTAACAGTATTCCAATTTATCCTCTTTGGGATTCTTGGGACCCTCCCCCCTGGAGCACAGTTGGGTATTAAGGGGGGGGGGGGGTCAGCCAAAATTCAATATCTCAGCTTCTGACATTGAACGAGGGGAGGAAGGCCCGCCACATCAATTTCTAGTCCGAGCCACATTCTCCTCATTTTCTCGTCCGAGTCACCTTGAAATCCTCGTCCTTCGATTATTATGTGTTAAAAAGTTTCCAATTCTCTAGGATAAAACTATTTTTTTTAAATCTAGCCACGTTAGGGCTTAAAATATGGATAGACTGAAGTATTGTAATGATTGCTTCATGTTAGAATCTTCGAACCCACGAGAATGATGTCAAACTTTATTTAGGTAAAACTTAAAACTCTTCTGCCTCCATCATGGCTAACCTAAGCGATATAAAATAAATAGCAAAATATTTTGTATACCTGTGCCTATCATTTTCCCCATGGAACCACCCAGAAAAATTCTATGGTTTTTACTATAATTAACGAAAAAGATTGAAGTTCTATGAACTCAGAATTATTTGCGACATTCTTTACCAGGAATATCTAAAAATGCGCGTAAAAAATTGTTAACATTTTTTAAGACATTAAACTTGAAAACTTTAATTCAATTGAAACTTTTTTTTTCGATTTACAAAATTTCGATATTTCTTTTATGCCCTATCGTGGCCCGATTCTTTAAAAATAGTTCTATCTGGGAGGATGAGACACTTTAAAAAAATATATCGAAAGGACGAGAATTTTGAGGTGGCTCGGACTAGAAATTGATGTGGCAGGCCTTCCTCCCCTCATGGAACGCATGAACAATCATGAAATTGTAACTATTGTAAGTTTTCTAGAATTGATATTTTTATCTTAATAGGTTTGTAGATTGGTGAATGATGACTATACTAAATATAGATCTATCACAATTAATGTGTATTTTCCTAGCTCTGTTACAGGGTGAGGAAAGAAATAGGAACACTGCATCAAACCCAATGTGACAATGTCAGAATCTCCAATTATAAATAATTACAAATTTTATGAAAGGAATTTTGAGTGCTAGAACGGCTAAGTTGTATTTGCCACAAATCACAACATCTTTGTCATAATTACATATGCCATAAAACTAACCATAATAATTACATTTTCTATATCACAAAATTTAACTTAAGTGACTGATAAGCGTAATTGTGTTTGATTCACAATGGTACCATTAAAAGCTTTGCCTGATAAAAGATCAATTATATATCAAGGTTTAATATTTTTAAATGTATATTCATTTTTAATTGCAGGTTTCTCTATAACAAAAGTGACTTGCGCATTTCTACAACAGGAAACATCTGGAAATTATTAGAATGAAACAGTTGTAAACTAGAAAACGACAATATCTTCCACATTATTGATCAGATAAAGGTTTGAAGGGTACTGTTGTTAATCAGTTATTGACACCTTTACCTGTAAAATATATTATAATATCGCCATAGTTTGAGTTTCAGAGAATTAAGATGAGGAGTGAGGATTTATAAAATGATAACTCTGATTGGATAATGAGATAGATAGAAAGATAGATGTTACCGCCATACTATTTCTATTGGTTCAGAATTGACAACAAACACATGACTGAACCCTGATTGGATCCGGCGCTAATGGACTCAGCATACAGGAGCGATATGCCGGTTTGGTGCTTGACCCATCTATATTTTACCGAATAAAGGGATTTCTTTAAATGATAAAAATGATAAAGATGATAATATTAATAAAGTGTATAATATATGTGAACTTATTACTTCTAAAAAATGTTGATCAAAGCACTAAAGGAGAAGAGTTGTTTATCTTGAATGCTGAATGCTTGATCTCGATATCCAATTAAGACACTTTTATATTTAAATATAAATGCTTGATCCCTTCATTTTAGTTATTCTTGCAGGATATGATCGAATATCATAGAATCTGGAAGAATAATTAAATTAATCCGTAGATTTGCATCAACGCTTAATCACAAGATTCACAAAACATAATTTCAGACATCAGAGCTGGGAATATCCTGAGCTGGAAACTTTTTCTTAATCTCGAGATTAAATAATGCTTGTTCTCCTCATTCTATTAATATCCAGATTAATTAACTGATTTGGATTAAGGATATCCCATTCTAAAGTTTTCAGCTTTTATCGATTATTCTTAATATCCACTTAATCCACTCTTTTACAATTATCTACAAACAAGTACAAGATTCCGACCAATGAGAGTTCTCTCATTAATTGGCGCGTAAAATTTCAAATTTTCCTAGCTTCTGATTGGCTGTTCCAGAGTTTGCATACACCGCTCTATTGGTGGAATTTTACACAGTTTTCAAATTTCATGATACAAAATAAAGATTTTGTATTGAGAAGAATAAAAAGAGGAGATCAGATCTCAATATCCACAATTTTAAAGTTTTCAGTTTGATTGTATTATTTCTAAACCATTTATAATTAAGCACAATGAAAAGCTTATAAAATGTTTAAAATGTATATTAATGTCTAAAATGTCTATTAATGTCTAAAATGTCTATTAATGTCTAAAATATCCATAAAATATCCATATTAATGATTTAAAGAAGATCTTTGTTAAAAAATATGTTTGAAACAATTTAATAATCTATAAAATGTGGGCATAAATCTATTCTGAGGCCGTTCCTTCCATAAAGTACATTGGTCGACAACTTGACGTCTCCTATATTGGTTGTCAAATGTACGGAGAAAAATCTATCTATCAGATAACAGATAAGAATTTAGCATGAGACATCTAGCGGCCAACGTATCGTTCCCCAAAGTACATGAAGTACACGACCACTTTCTATAGAGAGAACGGGCTCTGTACAGTGATAGTGTAAACTGTAGAGTACAGTATACGGTTTAAAGTGTATATACTAACCCCAGCTCTACCCATTGTATTGAATATGAATTCTACTTGCAAGAAGTGATCACTAGATGAAATATGAAACGCTACTGTATCTTTACGAAATGCTGAAAACTGTATTTACAAATTAATTTACATTTTTTCACGATGAACAATCGTAGGAAAACTTTTTCATTCACAATTAAGCTTTTAAAATATCAGTTTTCATATAGAAATGTTCAAAAACTAGAATTCAATCAAATCAAAATTAAATAATCTTTCGAGTATATTTATTATTAATTTTATCTCTGTCTTGTCATTCAACGCGGCATGCGCGTAACTCATATAGGCTTCTGCCTTAGGGTTATTGTGAACGAAAAACCCCTAAATCTTCAAAAAAAGAACTCTAGTGTTCTATCTCTGTTTTAATCTATGATTTGATTTAACAGAAGCCATAGTTTGAAATATCAAAGCTCTACGACATGCGGGTTGCAAAGATATAGGAATTAGAAAATCAAAGTTAGTGGCAATGGCAAAGACTCGATTTCTTTAAATATATATATATATAATATATTTAAAGATAAAAACGAGTCTCAATTTCTAACATGAGATTTTAAATGAGTTTGTGGAATCTTTATGTATGTTACCTAGTATTATTAGTAAGCTAAATTATTCCTACTTTCTCGCCCTTGAAACCGATCATTAGGGAGTAATGTTCGGTTTCTGCCTTATAGAAACCGAGCATTAGGGGGTAATCGTCGGCCATTACGACCATTTCGTTGGAGAGCCCCAACTTTTCAATAGAGACCCCCCAGATTATCATTGGAAACCCCCAGCTTTTCATTTAGACCCAAGATTTTCGTAGCCGAGCCCCAGATTTTCATAGGAGACCCAAATAAATTAATTGGAGGCCCCAGATTTTCTTTAAGATCCACAGATTTTCTTTGGAGACCCCCAAATTTTCATTGGAGACCCCCAGAGTTTCATTGGCCATTTCGTTGGAAAGCCCCAATTTTTCATTGGAGACCCCAATCTTATCATTAGAGACCCCATATTTTCGCTTGAGACCCCAAACTTATAATTGGAGACCCCAGATTTTCGTTGGAGACTTCCAGATTTTAATTGGAGGTCCCAGATTTTTATGGAGACCCCCAAATTATCATTGGAGACCACAAGCTTTACACCTAGACCCCAGACTTTCGTCGGAGACCCCCAGATTTTCATTAGAGACCCCACAAAATTCATTGGAGACCCCAGATTTACTTTAGAGACGTTCATAGTTTTATTGTAGAACCCCGGATTTTAATGGTAGATCCCCAAGATTTTCACTGAAGACCTCCAAGATTTTTATTTGAGACTCAAAATGTTTGTTTAAACCCACAATTTTCATTGAAGACCCCAAATATTTTCAATTAAGACCCAAACTTAAGTCCCAAATTTTTGTTGTTAAACCCGAAATTGGGGTCTCCAATGAAAATATAGGGTCTCCAATAAAAATCTGGTGGTCTCCAATGAAAATCTTGGGGTCTCCCAAAAATGCTGGGTTCTCAAATGAAAATATGGAGATCTCCAAAGAAAATCTGGGGTCTCCAAAGAATTTTGTAAGGTCTCCAATAAAAATCTGTGGGTTTGCAAGGAACATCTGGGGTCTCTAATGAAAATCTGCGGTCTCCAATGAAAATCTGGGGTCACTTATGAAAATCTGGGGGTCTCCCATGAAAATCTTAATTAAAATCAGGGGTCTTCAGTGAAAATCTGGGTCTTTAACAAAAATGTTGGGGTCTCCAATAAACCTTTGGTGGTCTCCAAAGAAAACCTGGTGGTCTCCATTGAAAATCAGGGGTCTCCAATGACATCTGGATGTCTCCAAATACAATTTGGGGTCTCCAATGAAATTTCGTGGGGTGTCCAATGCAAATATGGGGGTCTTGATGTAAAGCTGAGGGTCTCCAATGATAATCTGGGGGTTTCTATCGAAAATCTTGGACCTCCAAAGAAAATCCGGAAGTCTCCAAAGAAAATCTGAGGCTCCAATGAAAAGTTTGGGTCTCCAACGAAAATATGATGTCCCCATTGACAAGATTGGGGTCTCCAATTAAAATATAGGGTACTCCAATGAAAATCTGGGTTCTCCAGTGAAAATTTGGGGGGCTCCAATGAAAATCTGGAAGTCTCCAATCAAAATCTGGGATCAATTATTAAAATCTGGGGGTCTCCATTGAAAATCTTGGTGTCTCCAACGAAAATCTGGTGGTCTCCATAAAAACATGGCTCCAATTAAAATCTTGAGGTCTACAATGAAAATCTGTGGATCTCCCATAAAATTCTGGGGGTCTCCAATGAAAATCTTGGGGACTTTAATTCAAATCTGGGGGTCTCCAATGAAAATTTGTGAGTCTTTAACGAAAATCTTTGGGTCTCCACTAAAACTTTGGTGGTCTCCAATGAAAATCTGGTGGTCTCCAATGAAAATCAGGGGGTCTCCAATGAAAATCTGGATGTCTCCAAATGACAATAACAACAATAACAAATTTTCTGGGTTTCTGCAACGAAAATCTGGAGTCTCAATGAAAAGCTGATGATCTGGGGGGGTCTCCAATGAAAAGTTGGGGGTCTCCAATGAAAAATTAGGGCTCTCCAACGAAATGGCCAAACAAATTTTGTGGCCTTGGATGAATTTATTTGGGTGTTCAATGAAAATCTTGGGGCTTGCAACGAAACTCTGGAGTCTCAATAAAAAGCTGAGGATCTCCAATGATATCAGGGGGTCTGCAATGAAAAGTTAGGGGTCTCTAATGAAAAGTAGGGGCTCTTCAACGAAATGGTCGTAATAGCTGACCATTACCCCTAATGTTTGGGTTCTATAAGGCAGAAACCAAGCATTACCCCCTAATGCTCGGTTTTCAATGCACTGTTTAGTGTGTACTGCAGCGATATGCCGTTTACTGACCGAACGAATAGTGGAGAGCTGAATAAGAAGGCCGTGTTGAACCGTTTACCTACTTCAATGTACTGAGTGTGGACTACATGAAACCATATGAATAAATGAATAAAGGGACTGTTCACATATTTGGTCTGTTGTCTTTTTTACGCTCAATGATGTTCCTGAGCGCCAGAATGTGCAAAACTCTCTGTCAAATTCGAAAAAAACGAAGCTAGCGGTATTTCCCGTAAATTGAACCGACAAAAACAAACATTTGTACCGCCTGATGCATAAAATATTACGAATAGATCGACAAAGGAACTGAATTTTTGCTACAAACTTAAATATTCTAATTCCTATATCTTTGCAACCTAATGCCGCAAACCGTTGTTATTTCAAACAATGATTTCCGAAAGATAAAATAATATAAAGAAATATTAAGAATTTTAGCGATCCGTTTTCAAAAGCTTTGTGGTATAGGAAATCTTAGTTTGTGACAAAATCTCAGTTCCTTTGTATGTATAACATAAATGTATAACATATCTTTGTAAATGAATTGTATTTTATTCCGTTTCTAAGCGTATATCGAGTCCTAATCTATATAATAAAACAAGACCTTCGTATATATATAAATATATTTATACCTTGTAGCTCCTACTCTTTCGATTATATGCATATAGTATGAGAAATTAAAAGTATTTTTGATCTTCTTAGTTTCTCAATATTTGTTCAAAAAGAGTTCATTTATGATAAAAAACATAAAAAAATCCAATCTTATTTAAATTCACTTTAGTTTAACGTTATAGCTTAGTTCTGGAAGTTAAGTAGCTGTGTTCAGAATTTATCAAATTTGGGGTTTTTATTTAGTCAAAAATATGCGAACATTCCCTTTAATCAACTTTTTAATGAAATGTTGTTATGATTTTTATGTGGAAAGTTTATTAATTATTAAAAAGACCCCCTTTCATTATAATAATTCTGTGTATTTAGCTGTACAATACGAACAATTAGTGGAAAATCATATTAAATCATACAGTTTGATCCTTCAATTAGAGGAAAAATCATATTAAATCAATACAGTTTGATCCTTCAATTAGAGGAAAAATCATATTAAATCAATACAGTTTGATCCTTCAATTAGAGGAAAAATCATATTAAATCAATACAGTTTGATCCTTGAATTAGAGGAAAAATCATATAAAAGCAATACAGTTTGATCCTTCAATTAGAGGAAAAATGCAAAGATATTGAATTATAAAATTATTATATGTTCAGTTCCTTTTCCAAAATGATTTATATCACGGTATTAGAGTCAAAGATTTAATTAAAGTTATTAAATTTAAACGAATAACATAAATAAGATATAACAAACACAAGTTTCATAGCTTTTGGTGTATATTCAAATCAAAATTATTTTATTTTATAAAATTAAATTAATTTAAATTAGAAATAGATTTTGACCAATGCTGAAGCTTTATTTTATGTTAATAACTCATGATT